GTGGAAGTAGGATTTGAAGCAGGATAAGTCTAATTATAAAACATTGATTCAAAACTAATACTACTGGATAAAATAAAGATTCAAAACAACCACTGGTCTAGATATTAAAATATCCAGAGAACAAATATGCATGCTTTCACATTTTGCTGCGAGCTCCATATATAATATTTGTTTCTGTATGAACAATTTCCATAATGTCTAAAACATATCACCAACCAGTGTAAAATGCAAAATTCATTCAATTTTTCTAACACTGTGAGATAGCACTCACTACTGAGTAGAACTCTGTGGGGAAATACAGGTAAATACAGGCAACACTTAGATGCTAAGTGCTTACCATGACCTTTTAAAAATCGCGGAAAGGAGATATATTAAAATAAAAGATAAACATATATATGGTAAAAATCAATCGTGGAGAAGCAGTGTGAAGTAGTCACGGAAAAGCAGACAGGTTGCAAAAACAAAATCGCAGAAAAGCAGGACGGCCATTTGCACAACTCTTTACTGATTTGCCTGACTTATTCTTTCAATCTGCAATACACTAATATAGTCTACATAGGACTTCCTCATACAGAAAACAGAAAAGAAGACCTTCATCCTTATAACATCAATAAATATACTGTGACAGCTTAATATAAATGTATTTATACAGCTTTGCAGTCAAGCTTTTGGAGGAAACTTGCGTCACTTATTTCTACTAATCTACAAAGTGATGAATTTAATGTCAAAATCAACCTTTTAAAATTTATTCAACAGTTACCCTGTGACAGGGGGTACAACCACAAAATAAACAAACTGTCACATAAAGGGGATTCCTGCATTTCTGAATTGCTTGCTTGTTGAATGTATAGTGTAACAGAGAGAAAACCTGTGGGTTCCAACAATGATCATGACATAGTCCTAATAATTTCCCTGCATAATTATATTCTGTCAATTATTCAGATCTGCATATCGATTCTTAATTCAATCTTTACTCTACCATATATGTTTATAGAACTATATAGGTCACATCCAGCATTTGAAACATCCCTAGATGCATTAGCCATACAATTAAGTTTTATATACTTGGGAATAGAATATTGCTCAAAATACTTTGACACACCAACACATCATGCTGGCCGACCACCACACATTAGCGGTTGTTTAGCATATAAAGCTTGTCTTGACTTTGAGGAAGTAAGCTAAAAATTATACAAATTTTTTTAAAAATTATTTATTTATCAGCTTGGAGAAGATAATTTTATGTCTGATACATGTACTGAGAAAACCCCTTTATCTAAATATAGACCACAATTTATTTATATATACATGTTTGTAAACTATTATTCCAATATGGGTCAGGTTCTACATAAATTGTAATAGGCTCTACTGCAGATCTAATAAGTGCTTGTATTATTCTAATACTTTAAAGGCAGTGAATTCAATATTAGGGTGAAAACCATGCAAATTAAAATTGCTTGAATCAATATATTGAATATTCAATTATTACAGATCATAAGCATGATTCAGAAGAAAAAGCAGCAAAGAAAGAATAATTTAAGATATATTCGACAGCCATGTAGAAATCTGTTGCTGCACATAGATGCATGTGCATACATCAACAACTTGATACGTAACAATGAAACTTTGTGTACATTCATAACAAGACACATTGTTGATTGTACAAATAACTTGAACATCCTTTGATTGAAATAACTGGCACTGCCTCCTAAATCAATGAATCTATTTGCTGTACAGGCATGTATTTTAAGGATTAATTAACAGCCTTTATTTTCAGTTAACTCTAGGCTAGCTCCAACAATGCACATACACAATTTGTAAACATTACAGTCCACCACAATTTACAGAGTAGTTTCCCTTTGGTACACATCAATCACTTGAATGATGACAATAACTAATAGTAACACATTATGGTTAATACACCTACCAAAAATGTGGTGGATCCACTTGGAGTGGGGCTTTTTATAGTGCCTCCTTCTATTCATTGTGATATTCTTCCTCTTTTGTGAGAAACACAAAGAATTACAAAAAACAAGTCTGCCTTCCTAGATCTCAAATTTCCAATGTTCCTCTCACAGAAAGCCTAGAGGTTGGTATATAGACACACAAACTATAGTGTCATGTCTTTACCAAGTCATTATAATTCCATAAAAACAAGTCAATTAAAAGAAACAGCTAATCTCAAGATGGCAGGTCGCAATAGTCATCATCAGCATCAGGCTATTCTTAAAAAATGCTCCACATTTAAAACAATCACAAGCTGAATTTTCTCCACAAAGAACAAACCTACAGCTGTTGCTTATAATCTATAAACACCTGTCATTTAACGGTATAATACGGAGATACAGGTACAAATACACATGAATTAGCCAGCACCAGGTACTTTACAAAAAGCAGTGATGCAGAATTCAGTAAGATATTGATCAGGGAAACCAGAAAAATCTAACGTAAGTGAACTGTAAGGCATACAGGCTGTTTTGTAGTTGTGTGGAGTTTGAAACAACTTAGCTGGAAGGATTTTGGTAAATATTAAAAGTTGTTTACAAAGTTGTTACTATAATGAATACATTGAATTGTCAGTCCATGCATGCTGATTACCAGGATATTGGAACTAAAATTAGATGTAAACACAAGTGTATTTATAAGTGTACGTATAAGTTTATCTCTCAGCATTAGAAATGTTGATTACATGACAAGACCTTTAAAATGCAACTTAATCATTTGATTTTATTGTTATCTTATGCACATGTTAATATTTGTGGATATCTTTTGTAGCAAAGGATTTATAAACTTCAGTCATATTTCCTTCAAAGTTGATCTTTGAATGTGTCTATAACCAACAAAGTAATTTAATTATTTATTGTTAAAAGTAAGTCAATAATTAAGTAGGTGTGACATTTAAGTTACCTTGTAACTAACCTAATAAAAGCACAGCATCCATGAACATGATGAATATATTTGTAATACATGTAATAATTATAATTAAATCATACTATTTCATGATTACCTGTAACTGCCAGCTAGGGGTTTATTTAGAGTTCCACTTTATTTTACTACCCTTATCACATGAAAGGGGAATAATGAGAGCCAAATCAAAGGCTTGATTGATAGGAGCACTGTATGCAGAATATTTACAACCACTAGTGATGTCTAGGGGAATGCCCCCCTCCCCCCTTCCAAAAATGATAAAAAAAATTAAAACTTATAAACTAACATTGGACAAAAACAAAACTTTCTTAAATATTTTTTAAACATGTTATGATTAATCAGGATATTTTATGAATCTAGAAGGGGAATATTTAATTTTTTTCAAATTAAGGGAAAAGGTATTTTTTCTGGTAGTAAAAACAACTTTTAATAAATCCACGACCCCTTGATAAAAAACTTTCCTCCAGCATGTCCAGCAGCAGTTGGAAAGTCCTCACATTTAATACATTATGAGTCTGAATTTTAAGTGATATATTTTGCACCATCCTCCTTCCTCAAAATACAATTAACTTTTATTTTAAATTTAGCACTTATCAGAGTTAAAAATTACAAATGTGTGTTAAAAACATTGATATTTCTTTAACATGCAGTCTCATGAAAACTGAAGATATAATTTTGAATTTGAATACCATTTTTGTGTAAGCTCATGCGCATAATAATGGTATCAATATACACAGAGGCAGATTACTGAGCTATATTATATTGCAATTCATGAAATATGCTTATATTACAAGTCTGTGATTTACACTCCAATTATAGATAGTTTTCGATAGACACAATTTTAGCAAGAGTTATTTCCCATTGGTCACCATATTGGAAGTACATGTATACAAGCCCAATTTTTTTCATTATTCAACCAGTTTAAACTTGTCACACTGGGCAATTGGGTGAAGATAACACAATTTTTCTTATTCATTTTAATTTAACATAACGTAATATAACATAATTTATGTTAACACAAGCTTCCTTTCATTCGTAATTTTGGTACTTTAAAGATTTTTGGCCTTTTATTTCTGCCATACAAGTTTAAAATTCGCCATTTGGATATCCAGTATGGCAGCCAACAGGAAATAACTCTTGCTAAATTCAGGTCTATCAAAAACTATCTATATTCACAAAACTACAAAAAACTTACATCTTTGGGACAACAAATATTGTTTGTTTGATCATGAAATGCACATGTAGAACATGGAACAATTTTTTATAGTGTGAATACTTTATTGATGTTTTTAAATTTTCATTGAATGATAGTTTAATTTACTTTTGAAAAGTAACTGAATTAAACAATTTACATTCAATTTTATGGCTTTCTATATTGCAGTGCTTGAAGATGATTCAATGTATTACAGTAAGTTAATTTCCATTAAACTTTAGGAAAACCTTAGCCATTCTGTAAATAATTTCAACCTGTCCTCATTGAACAAAATGATGGATAATTATTATTATACTATGGCACTGCTGTGCCATTCTAGACTGGCTAGAAGTTACATATAATGAATAAATACTAAATACAGTATACTTACATGTAAATCATAAATATTCAAATTGAATTATTCAACTTTAAGATTAGATAATCTTTAACCAATGTTTGCCAGAGAACTACATGTCTGTTACATTTTCATCACAGAACGTTAACATTATGTGCAAAATTTAGAACATGTCACAATGAAATAAGGATGGAGTTTTCAGGTCTGATGCGATCGTTACAATTTTTCACCTTTTGTGGCATCGAGGTACGATCATACGTAATGTCACACGATTCTGTTACTGATACCATTGTCACCTGGTCACTAAGTAACTACAACACAATCATCGGCAAAGAAGTGCACTACCAATTTAATAATATAGAACACTTAATTTTAGTCTACTAAGTCTAAACGATGGATAAACAGAAGACTGTTTTTGAGGAAATTCGAAATGTCCATGAAACGTGACATATAAGTTGCCAAGATATTTAAATTATATTCGGGAAGATTATAAACTGATTAATCGGCAATTTATATTCAACTTACTTGTGCAATTCAATTTTCTCTCATGATTTGATTCACATCTTAGTAGAATTCCACAAAGTTAATGCCAAGTGAGTTGGTAAACAATCCATTTTGGAACTTTTTTCATCTACGATGTTTTGATTCAGTATTGGTTTCCTGCCCTTGATTCCAATGTCGGGGTACCAGTCTAATTTTCGATTTTAGACTGGTTCCCTACCATTGAGGTGCGCGTCGATTTACCCAGAACCCAAAATGACGCTAATTAAATCTATACTACTATATTAAAATAATAGATTCGAATTTTTGGCCTTTAATACCGATAAATCGGAAGAGTACTGTCGTTTGTTTTATATATTTTAAACATCATTGGTACTTGAAGATTACCAATTTGTTTTTATTTTTTCTCAATTAACGAGGTTCGCTCCTGAGCTTTTGAGCAGATTTTTATCTTAACCTATATTTCAAAAATTCTGCATAATGTTTTAATTCTTACAATAAATTTGGATTCTACAATGCCAATTTAACTATATTCAGTTAAAACTCCATGATTAAATTCAATACCAAAAGCATTGAATGAGGAACTATATTTTGTGGCGGAAGGTTTTTTAGAAGAAAATGATCATTTTTTCTCTTTCGAAGTATTAAAAGTATGTTAAGTTTGGATTCCTATTTTTACATACAGTCTGCACATATAGTTATTTTGTGCAGTGGGTTGTTTTATACTGGTCCTAAATTATCTATTTAATAAACTGTCATGAATTCTATCATCATATTTGATAAATATAGCAAATATATTGTGAAAATGAAGAAAAAAATAGCCCTAATTTAAGCTTAAAATTAGCACTATTTTGGGAATATCTAAAAATTAACATCACAGACCCCAACTTTTAATATTCTTTTATGAATATATACGATATTTTTAACCATTCTTCTTAAATTCAGTAAAATGTCATTACTTTTAAATGATTTTTTTGCTTGTTAAATTTTTAATGCCAGAAAAATGAAAATGTTTTAGTGCAAAAAGGTCAAATAATTGAACATGCGGAGTAATTTGAAAATTTCTTTGTTGTCACAAATTTTAGTGTGTCTATTTAAGATGAAATAAGACTGTTTTTGTTCCCATAATTTATTTGAACAAAAAATATTGGAGGAAAAACTTTAAAAATAGATGTATGTGTAAGACGTATTTACAGTGCAAAAAGGTCAAACTAAATGCTCTGTAGTGCCAAAAGAAGCGCATTGACCCCCATTTTTTGTTTTGATTTTTAATAAAGCCATGTGTATAAATTCTAAAAATATACTTGGTAAAAAATTCTCATTACTTTTGATGGCAGGATCCAACCTCCTTGAGCTTCGCTAATTAATAATCAACGAAAATTCCTCAAAAAATTCCGGAAATCATCTGAATGTTTTGGATTTTACAATCTTGCGCGTGCGTATTACATTCACGCTAAATCACGGTGTTCAAATCAGAGAAGACAAAAGTAATTTGTACTAAGTAGATATACATTTGTAATTTTATAATTTTCTCTAATAAGAAATCATAAATATATATGAACAAAATATATAGCATATTTCCAATGAAAATTTACACGTATTTGTATTAATGTTTCTGAGTTTATCCATGCAAATGTGATATTGTGGCCACTTGGGTAATCATTCGCCATCTCAGAGACGCATTTATTATAATTTATTTATGTCTCTGGTCATCTCAACGGAGGCAAAAAGCTCATGATCGTAGGAGCAATATTAATGTAACCACCCGATTTTATTTTATCCTTCCTTTCTTTCATGCTTTTTTTGAAGGGAAAGGGGGGGGGGGGTTACAACTCCAGCTAGAATCACATCTTAGTGAAGTAGGCATTCTTTTTCCGCCAGAAATTACAATAACATTATTTTCATTTCTTAACTTTGAACTAAATCGAAATAATTAAATAACGTCAATATAACCGATATTTTCAATTTGAAATGTGTCTAAATGATTGCAACTTGAATTTGTTCGCCATGTTTACTATTACCTTCACTGCTGAGATTTATAACTTCACCTCCAAAAATTTCTTTAACTTTGAAAAAAAAGTGGGTGAAATATGTATATAGAAGGGACAGCCTGTTCTTCTTAATATGTAAAGGTTGTCGTGGTAACTACGCTTGATAGGTAGTCTGAAGTCAGCCCTTGCGGCTCGTACAGTTCATTCTATCAATGCTGCTAAAATATCGATCGTTTGTAAAATTTAATCCATGCATAGTAATTCTCAAAACTATGAGGTGGGACAAAATTAAGATCGTAAAAATATTTATTCAATGATGAAATGAATTATATTTAATCGTAGCAAACAAACTTATGTTTTATTAAATCGCCACAAGAAAAAATACACCAGCGTGAAAACAAGTTGTCTTCTTCAGCAGCCATGACAGTTCTCATGTGATGTAATGACTTTTGATTGAAAACGTTTAATACTGCAGTAGACTAATTTTTGTTATCACTAAACAGATATATAAATGTTTATGAGGTATGTATTTTATTTTTGCTGCATTATTTACGTATAAAGTAAGAAAAATTCCCATATTCAGTTCAAGATCCGCTCCCAAATTCTCATTGGCTGCCCCAAAATAAAATCGGTAAAGGTCAGTAAACTTAAAAGTTTGCGGTAAACTCAGACTTTACTAAATATTTTGGAAAAATTTATGCTCTGAATAATAATATTAGAAACATTTATTTTAAAATGTTCCTGATTACATTGTATGATTTCAATTAAAAAATGGAAATGATATTGTATGATCCAAAAAGAGTTGTACCCCAACCCCAGGAAAAGGCTTCATTATTGCAGCAAGAAGTACCTTCAAATTCCTACTTTCCTACTTAGGATACCCTTGCTTGGCTTATCTAAGATAATGATAATTTATGTTTCCCATATATTTTATACTTAGTATAAACAAGAGGCCCATGGGTCACACCGCTCACCTGAGCAACTATGGTCAATTACTCCAACCCAAACAGCTTTAACAAATCATAAATATCTGTACAAATTTAGTTTTTTATATTAAGTTTTTGATACATATTCTAACTTTGAGATTTTTCTCCAAAGACTTTCTTATGTAAAATTTACAGTAAATATTCTGTTCCCCCCTCTCCCATTGTGGTTGTACCCTATCATGACCCCCTGTGATCGTCATCATCAAATTTGAATATACATTATATGAATTAATTTTACATTTCAGAAAACCTCTCTGGTCAAGTAGTTTTGGAAAAGAAAATTCATAAAAAAAATTTCCTATAAATACTCCCATGGATACCCCTCCCCCATTGTGGCCCCACCGTACCACAAGGGGTCATGAAAGGTCATGATAAGATTGATGAAACGAAATTGAGAATGCTTCCACATAAGATTCAACATTCCTGGCCAAAAGGTTCTTGAAGATTTTTAAAGATTTTCCCTATATATTACTGTGTAAAGTTTCAACCCCCCATTGAGGCCCCACCCTATCCCTGGGGGTCATGATTTTAACAGTTTAGAATCTACACTACCTGAGGATGCTTCCACATAAGTTTCACCTTCCCTGGTCAAATGGTTCTTGAGAAGAATATTTTTAAAGATTTACCAAAAAATTTCAATATTTCTTAATTATCTCCCTTTGGTAAAGGGCGTGGTCCCTCATTTTAACAATTTTGAATCCCCTTCACATAAGGAATTGTTTTGTGTCAAGTTTGGTTGAAATTGGCTTAGTGGTTTTGGAGAAGAAGTCGAAAATGTGAAAAGTTTACAGACAGCTAGAGTGACTGACGACAGACAAAATGTGATCAGAAAAGCTCACTTGAGCTTTCAGCTCAGGTGAGCTAAAAAGTAAAACACAATACATTTGTTGAATCATAAAAGATGAAAAAAACTTTCAAATTGGTTACTATTTATTTCGAATTTATAATAACTATAACAGGTTTAAACACAACTGAAGAAAACATATTGTTTCCAAAAATTGAATCAAAATTATTCAAAAACCGAGGTTTTTGTTTTAATCGAATCGATTCAAAATATTACTAATTCAAGGATATTACATTAATTTTTATCAAAACAGACAGTCATGAGAGCATTTTCTTATATATAAAGTACATTTGATATTATTAATTTTTATTATGATCTCTTGAACAACCAGTATGTTTTTTTTTTTTGTGGGGGGGGGGGGGGTATTTGCAAGATAATCTGTTCTGCTTCACATCTGCTAAATTTGTAGAAATACCAGTATAGCACATTTGTCCATTTTCATTTCTGCTTTTACAGATTATATACATGTCTATTACCTGTCTATATATAAAGTATATGTATTAGCAGTGCTTAATAACTCTTTTATTGTTGAGGTCATACTTTGAACAAGTTGAGACCTGCAGTGTTAAAATTGTTACAAAATTTTTTACATCTTTAGTTTAATAACTAATTGTGTAAAAGTACCAGCTAAACACATTTCTTCATTTTCATTACTTTGCTTGATATGTATCAGCAGTGCTCAACTCTTTGTTGTTGTCATATTTTCAATAAATATCCATAATTTCTTTTATTAAATCTGTTTGGAAAGGTGAAATTTATGTAAGCTCCGACGTGATCGATTCGAACTCATGACTTGATTTATAGCTAAATGGGGTTCAAACCCATTCTGCGCTACGCCGTTACGCAACAATTTTGCAAAAAAAAAAAAAAAAAAAAAAAAAAACCAGAATTATATTCACATTCATTGTTTATTTCAAAAGTACCTTACAATATATGAATGTGTCGATGTATCTATTTTGTAAATGTCCGATATATGCACATGGATGCATTCATAACAATGTCAACCCGTGCACGCACGGGTCAAAGTCTAGTGAATATATTATAACATAATGAAAATTAATAATTTATATTAAATAATGAATTCTATATCATAAAGATTATATAAAAGTTGGCCAAAACCTAAATTTATACACTTGCAACTTTTCTTTCAAAAATAATCAAACGTCTTATAAGAACATGTTTACACGTCAAACACTAAATGTTGTTAAATATGCTTTGTTTTATAAAGCTGAAAATACCATCTTCTTATCATATTTTCCCTTCTATTTTATCATATCTTAGCATATGTTATATATAATGAAAAAAAAATTATTTTATGACTTACTCAAGGCATATAGCATGGGGGGGGGGGGAGGAGAGGTGACCCCCCTCCCCAACTTTTTTCCAAACTTAATGTTTTAACTTTGAATTAAGTATGAAAATGTTCATTAAAAGCCGATCGCCCCCTTCATTTTGAGTCCTTTTGTTTTCCTTTTGGGGTTCCTTTTGGGTCCTTTTGGGGTTCCTTTTGGGTTCTTTGGTCCTTTTGGGTAAATCGACGCACCGCTGAATGAGCGCGTCTACCCAGAGTTATCTGGTTATCGTTCTCGCTGCGCTCCAGTTATTGTAGCGTAGCGTAATACGCCCTCTGGTGAGAAGTAGTGAGCCCAAGCGCCCAAAAGTCTGTCCCTAGCGGCCAATCGGCAATCCTTGGAACCAAGGACAAAAAAGACAGTGCTTTTTTTGCGATTTGTAAACTGGAGTGCTCTCCCTTTGTTGAGAGAATAATTTTCACTTGTTCAGAGAACGAGATGGTTCTGGTTCACCAATATTTACACGAAAAATTATCGTCTGCTTGGAACTTTCACAGAATTCACTAATATTTTAAGCAGTAAATTGACCAAGTTGTTGATGCCAAATCGAGATCGAATTTTTAAAATCTAATCGGAAAATCAGTTGCAGGACCTATATCCACTTCCTAAAATAGGCCTACAGCACAAAATATTTCAACACCTCCTTTCTTCCGTCCTAATTTGAAGGTATGTGTTGATAATAAAATCTTGAATATTGACTCAGGAATTAAATTTGCATGCTCGAAATCCACCATTTAATTGTTCAAGTTAAGCTCATCTGTAATAAATAAGTTTAAAACTTAAGTTCCGTCTGTAAAAAATCAGACAGTGAGTTTAAAACATGCAAATTGAAGGACATGAAAGGGTGACCAATTTCAGAAGAAGAAAAAAAATTGTATCATTTGGCATAATTTCGATCCAAAATTTATTTATCTAAAATTCATCCTTTTTCCAGTAATTAAATAGCTATAGTTACTGTATCAAAAACGACTCTATCTTTTTTGAAATTTAAAGGTCCGTGATTATTTCAATACTGAACAAAATAAACTTGGTAAGTGAAATTAGTTCATTATTTCCTGGTCTAGACATAAAATTTCGACTCACACTTTCCCCGAATCAATCTGGTGCAGCATGTAGAAACAAAATTTACACAATTCCATGCACAAAGAATACTACATAACTTTAAATTTATCTTTCTCACAATAGACAGAATATGACCCTTTTTCTTTATACTCTTTCGCATGCCCGAAGGAAACGGGGGGGGGGGGGTTGCCCCAATAGTTTTGCCAGTATATACACTACATATTGTATGTATTTAGTATGCAATAAAACTGATTTTACCCCTCATCTAGAAAGCTTGTGATCAGGGAATTAATTCTGTTCAGTTGTACCAACCAAGCTGAAATTGCTTTCTATGGGCTTGCATGTGTCTAGACTAAATTGTTGAGTTCCACTGAGATATGATTTTTCCCAGTTTCTGTCTCCACTAATTCTCGTGTAGCACTCCTCCCTTACATCTTCCAAAAGTCGCCCGCGTGGCGCAGTGGTTAGAGCGTCGGAGTAAAAAGTTGATCCTTACGTCGCGGGTTCGAATCCCACTGTGGGATGTAGAGACCGATCCTTCGGATGAGACCGTATAAACCGAGGTCCCGTGTCGCAGTAGGTGCTGGCACGAAAAAGATCCCTCACTGCTCAATGGCCGTAAGTGCCGAGTATAGGTCAGAATTTGTAGCCCTCCACCGGCAAGTGGTGGCGTCTCCATATGAGTGAAAAATTCTCGAGAGGGACGTTAAACAACAAACAATCAATCAATCAATCATCTCCCAAAATAATTCCACACACATTGCGAAATATCACAAGACCGCGTAAGTTTTTCTTAAAGAACAGAGAGGTGAGTGACGTATGAAGTCAGTGAAATTTCATTGGTCAATCTTTTGGAGGGAACTCTGTCATTTTATTTGTTGTTCAGAACTTTGAGAAGACAAGATGTCTTGGTGTAGTACAATTTCTGATTTTCACTGTTTAGGGATTTCAAAATTTCAGGGCTGTAATGTCTTCAATGTAGGAATTATCTACACGTTATTGTGTATCATTCAGACCTTTTGACCATATTAAAGGGTACGTCTTATGTATTCATTATGCTTAATAAATATTATATGAACAAAGGAAAATGTTGTTATTCAACTAACTCTACTACATTAGCAAGAGTACAGTATCTTAAACGGAAAATGTGTGCATCTTAAATTAACGGAAAATTTTGTCTATGGTTAGAGGGATTCTTTGCAAATATGCATCAGTTTAACGTATCTCCAACCTTGTATTGAAGTCCTCCGTATTTGCTTTATCTATATTTAGATAAAAGGGTTTTCTCAGTACATGTATCATGATTGGGTAAACGGAGGGATCCATGAACAATTCAGTATAAAAACTTCATTATGAAAACAACTGTCTGACAATTTGTATGAGAAATGTCAGTCAACCCTTCTATCATCAGCTTATTTGTCAGTAGTACGTAGAACATGCTCTTACAAAAAAAGTCAATATTAATGCTAATTTTTTGTTCATCATTGGTATTAGGGATGTGATCTCCTATAAATTAAACAGACTAGGTTCGCAGTCTGATTGAAATCAAAATAAAAAGGAGCTAGTGAAGATTTGATTTTAATCAGACTGACTCGGTTTGGTAAAGAGAAGGACAGAAATCAATTTCGGGCATTGTGTGTAGCTTGTAAATGCAGCGAATCAAGGACATATATAAAACACTAGGAGGTTAAAAAAGGGTTGAAATATTGATGTGGTAGAGTGTATATATTTGTAGTGTATTTATTATTTTTCGAATTTTAAGATTTTTTTTACAGGTGTAGAATTATCTGAAAAATAATTTTATCCAAATATACTAGCAGGTAATTCATTTAATTCAATTTCAAAATAATTATCTCTCAACAATTTATTATTTAAGGTATACAATACTTTAGTAGCTTTAGAATTTTTTAAGTATTATTTAGTATACACATGGATTCCTCCGTTTACCCTATCATGAAAAGGAATTCATGGCGGGCGTAACTGGTCCGGTCGACAGCCGATTCTTACTCCTCCATAGCACCCGATTTCGCCTCTGATGTTTCCAGAGGTCTAACCGTATTTGCCCTGCTAATATATGTTAAAATAGGGATTTGTTTAATTGTTCATATGACAGAAAATCAATCCCTATTCAAATCACAATTTTACTCAATCAGAGATGGTTACTGTGTCTTGCGATCCCTGAAGATCATTATTTAGTTATGTTGCGTAACACTTTCAGTTCTTGAAGTTGCATTAACTGACATTGATTTAGCAATTGCATAATAGTGGATTATTTTTTCATTGTAACATCTAGGAAGCTAATCCCTTTTTGTCGCAATGGAATCTTCGTATTTAATCGATGGGTCTGAAAATGCATATTTTGAAGCAAAATGTCGGTAGAGAATAAAATGTTAAACATATATATGGTGTCATTTATGTTTATAAAACATTTCTTGTTTAATAAAACATTTATTCTAGTATTGGAGCATTCTGCACATTAAACACCTTGTAAATGAGTACTAGAAGAATAATTTATGGCGGGAAAAACAAAATCTCTTGGTCCTTGGTCTAAACATTGGGGGGGGGGGGGGTCCTGTTGTCCACAAGTACCTTTGGTAGCATGGCTGTTGAATAATATTTTTAATCGACTATTCAACATTTTAAATAATAGTAGTTATTAAATTTCAATATTACTGATGTTACCCTGTCTGAGGTCGCCCGCGTGGCGCAGTGGTTAGAGCGTCTACTCTAGGGTCGCAAAGTAAGGAGTTGATCCTTACGTCGCGGGTTCGAATCCCACTGTGGGAGGTGGAGACCGGTCCTTCGGATGAGACCGTATAAACCGAGGTCCCGTGTCGCAGTAGGTGCTGGCACGAAAAAGACCCCTCACTGCTCAATGGCCGTAAGTGCCGAGTATAGGACAAAATTTGCAGCTCTCCACCGGCAAGTGGTGGCGTCTCCATATGAGTGAAAAATTCTCGAGAGGGACGTTAAACAGCATACAAACAAAAACAAACAAACCCTGACTGAGTCAAGATCAGATATCTGTCCAATCAGAACGTAAACTTGGTGCCCCAATACCAGGTATTATACACAGGTACTTGTGGACAGGGTCGGTTCACACTGTCTCTACATATATTTCTGTCTTAATTCATGCTATTGGATTGACTCAGTCTGCATCTCGTAAGAATCCCACAATTTCTTCTTAAACAGCATTGCAGTCAGTGCGTTGAAAAATCCTTAGGTAAACGCAACGGAAGTACACCAAGAATGTTTCACTTATTACTTGTACGATAACGTCCGAGAGAGTTTTGGTCTGACGTAATAATCTCTCTCGGGTATTATCATAATAGGTAATATATTCTCTATGCACTTCCGTTGCGTTAACCTGAGGATTTTTCAACGCACTGACTGCAATGCTGTTTAAGGAGAAATTGTGGGATTCTTCCATTTCAACGCAGTGATCCTATAGAGGAGGAAGATGTTTCAACAAGTTCAAAATGTAACAGATGTCGAAGAAACTTTGATCAGAAATCAAAGCTCACAATTTACGCAAATGAGCTTAAAAAACATATTATCCATTTTGGTCCGTAAACCAATCTATCGGAATTCCCTTCTCAAATGGAAATGTACTAAGTTATTTAAGAAGAGTTTCCTGTAATGAAAAGTAAAAGTAACAGGAGATACACAAACTTGAAGAAAAGTAGCCAAAGTGGTGAATCGTCGAACGCTTTTGGGAATCACAGTGTCTGTAAATATCAACAGAAAATACTGAACTGAATAGAAAGACCACAAGCAATATACACACAAAGTCACAGCAAAGAATAGCCGAGTAAGGTGTTCATTTCTCCTTCCGCTCACTGGGCCAATGTACCCATTACCGCTAGACAGATTCTGGGTGATGGTAGGTATTGGACGAAGAGGGAGTCCAGTCCATGCGTTGGGGAACACATTACCTAACCCAAGGCCAGTAAATGTCCAGTTTGAACTCGTAGCAGCTGGTGTTTCCACAGGCTTCATTCGTCGATGATCTCGTAGGAAAATGAATATCCTAGCGTAGATGAAAATGGAACCGAATTGCACGGCTGTCAAAACAAGAAGAAATCCAAACGTGTCATTGTGTTTGTAGGAAGTGTATTTGAAAGTACACTGATTTTCCTCTTCCACAAAAGTGTATGATCCGTCACTGAAAACGGGCGGAAGCGAAACAAGCGCCGACAGCATCCAGCCTACGGCAACCAGAGTGAGGCTCGTAGGTCCTTGCAACCAACGCTTATGCCAATAAGGGTAGGCGACTGATATGTAACGGTCTATTGCGATGACCATCAGACTTATAAACGAATTAAACACAAAGAAAAAGTTAGTAAAAGCAATTGCGATGCAGGATACCTCTCCATGAATCCATCCGACATCTTGTACAATGGAAGCAATCACAAATGGTATGCAGAACAGACTTCGGCACAAATCGGAAATTGACAGATTGAGCAGGAAAAAGAATGGAGCCCTGTGAAATGTCGTGTTGCGTGTTATAGTAACAATAATCAGTAAATTACCGAAAGTTCCGATTAAAAGAACTCCAGCAAATAGGCCTACGTTAAGCATCGCGTTCATGACGGTAAATGCCCCGAACGTATAACTTTCTAGAGAAAGAATGACTGATTTTTGATGTTGAGAGTGCGCTGTGTCTTCGACCGATACCCATCCATTGGAGAAGTGAAATAAAGCATAGGAGATCATCCTTTTCGAGCAAATCACGTAATTGTTTACGAAAGTGTCCTCGACGCAAGGGCGTGTACCACGTGACTTGTTTGGAGAATTCTCTGATCAATATAGAGAACCGTTTATAAAGTCAACATTGCTGATGCCTCTGCCAAAAAATATCGATTACCGCTTACAGATCTTACTCCAGCATTAATGGAAGAGATTCGGCTTTGATTTCCCTTAAATTGTTCGCTTAATAACAGAAAAAGCAATTTCCAGAGATATGAAGAAGTTACAACAACAATTAGACGAGACCCAGCGTTACTTTTTTTCGCAAACAAACCCAATAACTCTTTGACCAACGCTAAATAGCGCTATCGGTTTTCCAAATAAGTGAGAACAAACTAAATTTATGTTCCAAAAATAATATAAAAGAAAGATTAATGATGTAAAGCGTGCGAAAATGAAAGCTACCACTGTTCATTCTACCGTGTTTAATTTCGAATTTATACTGGATGGGGGTTAATTCAAATTTACATCTAGATAGTAAATTCAAAAACTTTTTTCCTGAAGAAATTTGTATGTCAAAGAAGGCTTAAAGCAATGTAGCTTTCAAAGAAACATCACGTGAAAAATATATTTCTATCTTTTATAGTATAAACTCCTCTGATGAAATATAAGAGGTAAATGTACACATTACTGGTACTAGTAATTCAAAGAAAATATTGATATACATAAGTTTACACTAGTGTAGACAAAATCACTTACTTTAAATGCTGTAATACTATTGGGGACTGGTGCAACACCGTGTACGAAATTCTGATTTACAAACATATAAGCGTGTTCTGTTGGAAGTTTAGTAAAGTTTAGGGGTAATTTTTTAACTTCATGCTCGTTAACGTGTCACCTCCATCGACATAATGGATTGTAATTGTATATTATTACCGAGAAAGTGAAGCCATATCTTTCCAAGCCCAGGGTTCTGAATCCCTCCTCGTTATTTTTGGCTATCGAAGATGGTGAAGCTAATGATTAGCTTCACCATCTTCGATAGCATTAAATGCCGAGAAATTTGCATTTTTCTAGAATTACAGTAATCAAATCGTGTGTTTGTTAGACTTTTTATACCCCCTGCTTGAAAAGCGGGGCCTTACAGTGATAGGTGTGTCCGTTCGTCTGTACGTCCTTAACACTTGAAGGGGGGGGGGTACCCATCTCTTTTCAGCAACTCCTCCTATTCCACTGAATAAAATTTAATGAGACTTTCACAGAGACTTTATTGCATAGTGCCATTGTGAAACACCTACATTGTATTACAGTGTACATACGTTTTGATCAGTCAGATATTTCGGGTCTCCGATAGCAAAACGTTGACTGTCATTCTACTGATAAGGGGGGGGGGGGATACTCATATGTATCAAAGAGGGGTGTATTATTTTTGGAGCTCAGTGCTCACAGTATACTGCACCTCTAGTTTGTTTTATAATTGTCTATCACTCAACACTAAACACCCAACACCATCTTGATAAATCTTCGTACATGAGACTGAATACGTCTTTAACTAAAACGTGTCTTGTAAGTTTGAATTGTTTTCTTATATTATTTTGTCATTTACTTGTAACACTCTTACCTGAAAATATCCTTACCTTTGATTTCTGGATATCTACTTTTATAGAATCAAAATCCATATCGATCTTTGAAAAAAGAAAAAAAAAACAAAACAAAACAAAAACAAAAAGTTATCACTACCCGCGGGCGCAGTGTAGGAGGTGAATTCGAATCCAAACCGCGTCATACGAACTCTGCAATACCGTTGCAAATTAATCGCTCGACTCAAGAGTCTGTAGAATTTCCATAAAAATAAAATCCTTGAAATTTGTGGTGGATAAAAACTACAATTCAGTCACTTGTACATTACCCGCTAATCATAAACCACCCTTTTCCCTTCAGAATTGCAAAATTTTAACAAGGTATCGACAAATCATTTCTCATGTATATTTGTCGCCGATTTCAATCTAATGCTTAAAAGACACAACAGCTGTGCATATATATTCTATCATTAAGTATTGATGTATTAATTAAACTCCACGTTATTTATTTTTCCTTCTACACCGGTATTTATCCAGACCATGACATGATTTACAAAGGGTAGAACAGTTAGGAAGAGGAAATGCACTCTCTTAGCAAAATTTCACATGTAATTATTATTTCTTTTTTATGCCCCCTATCGAAGATTCGGGGGTATATAGTTTTTGCCCTGTCCGTCCGTCCGTATGTCTGTTTGTCCGCAAAAACTTTAACCTTGCCCATAACTTTTGATTGGTTGGAGCTATGGCTTTCATATTTCACAAGTGTATTCCTTGTGACAAGACCTTTCTTTTGGTTTCACCATATTTGACCTTTTGACCTTGGAGTTTGACCTAGTTTTGCAAAATTTAACCAAACCTTAACCTTGGCCATAACCTTTGAACAATTGGTGCTAGGACCTTCATACTTCACATATGTGTAATCCTTGTGACAAGAATTTCCTTTGGATACCAACAACTTTGACCCTTTGACCTTGACGTTTGACCTACTTTTGGAAAACTTTAACCTTGGCCATAACCTTTGAACGGTTGATACTAGGGCTTCATACTTCACATATGTAATCCTTGTGACAAGACCTTTCTTTGGATACCAACATACATGACCCTTTGACCATGACCTTGGAGTTTGACCTACTTTTGGAAAACTTTAACCTTGGCCATAACTTTTGAACAGTTGGTGCTAGGGCTTTCATACTTCACATATGTAATCCGTGTGATTAGACCTCTCTTTGGATACCAACATCTTTGACCCTTTGACCTTGACCTTGGAGTTTGACCTACTTTTTGAAAAACTTTAACCTTGGTCAAAACTTTTGAACGATTTGTGCTTTGGCTTTCATATTTCAATTGTGTATTTTTTGGGAGAAGGCCTTTCCTTGGGCACCATTACTTTTAACCATTTGACCTTGACCTTGATGTTTGACATACTTTTGAAAAAACTTTAACCTTTTCCATATCTATTCAATGGTTGCTGCTAGGTCGTTCATATTTCACAGGTTTATTCCTCGAGAAAAAAACCTTACTTGGGTACCAACATATTTGATTTGCATTTGAGAAAAATTAAAACCTTTGCTATAAGTTACCATACGGGGGCATCAGTGTTTCACAAACACATCTTGTTTATTTATTTTTTGTTTCGAAGCTAAAAAAAATCGCTCTGTTTTCCAAGACACGCTTTTATAAATGTATGCAAGAATTCTACATTCATATCCACAGTAGCTGTAATATGTCATTGTGCAAAAGTCACTTCTATAGTTTTTTAGTATCATACCATCTACTAAATGCTTATAACGCATACATTACCCGTACAGAATGAGAAGGGCATCGGGGGCATATAAATTTTCTTCGTCTGTTTGACCGCAAACTTTAACCTTGGCCATAAGTTTTGAACAGTTGAAGAATTTTAAATTTCACATATTTTTTTCTTATGACAATACCGTCCTTTGCGTACCAACGTTTTAAACTTCATGACCTTGGAGTTTGACTTACTTTTGAACATTAAACTTGGCCATAAGTTTTGAACGGTTGGTGCTAGGGCTGTCATATTTCACAAGTATATTCCTCGTGGCAGACCTTTTTTGGTGTATATATTTTAGACCTCACAAACTTGACCTACTTTTTCAAAACTTTAACTTTGGCCATAACTTCCGAACGGTTGGTACTAGGGCTGTAATATTTCACACATGTGGTCCTTGAGACAAGACCTTTCTTTGGGTACCAATAATATTTACCTAATGACCTTGGAGTTCGACTTAATTTTGAAAAACTTTTATTTTAGCCATAAGTTGCAATACGGAGGCACTAGTGTTTCCAAAACACATCTTTCACTGTACTTATTTAAGGCTTTTAATGATTTTTGGGTTTAACCCTCTGCAATCACAACAATAAACCCGGTCCCTCCCCCCCCCCCCCCCCCCTTATAAAAAGCTTCCACCTAAGAAATGGTTTCATGTCAACCTTTAGCAAAACTATATCAATTCTTGCCTGAGGACATCATTCTATACTGTAACATAAATGAGCATTATTTCTTTATACAAGATTTATTTTTGTAACATCATAAATAACAAAGAATGATTTTTATTTTTTCCCTCTCTAACAAACGCAAATATTTCCCACAAAACGTGACTTTTTTAAATCAGTCTGAGAGCAATTTTAATATTTGCCAGTGGATTGTTTATCGGAAATATTTGTTCCTCGTCTTGAAACCACGCTCTCTAATCCTTCCTTAGCCTCTCGGAGTTTATCCATCCATTTCAACTACAATAAAATATTAATTTTGATGATCAAGGAATATCCTCATGTTTACATGTTTATACAACAAACCAAAAACTACGAGATGTTGAACTTTCTTGCGTTTTTAAAATAAATGTTAAGATTTCTAAAAAGGAAAGAAATTTAAACCTGAATATACATTCTATAGTAAATATTGTAAATCAACAATTATTTGCAACAACTTTTATTCGCAGTTTTTCACTCAGTTTGAAATCAATATTCGCAAGTGAGTAGTTATACCGCATAATACACAATTAGAAATACAGAAATATTCGCGAGTTTAAGAAGGTCGCCAAACTCGCGAATATTTCTCTCAGGCAAAAAAGTTGGTTTATAGTATTTGGATCATAAAATTTGAACTTTAGTCTTTCGTTCTTTTTAACACTGAAGATCCAACAAACCTTCGCCGCGTCATTTGTGCACTGAAGCGTGAAGACTCCAATAATTTGTTGATAACGGCTGATCTGGACAAGAACGAATGCTGACTTGATCCCGTTCGCTAAAAAAACATGGAATTAATTTCGAATATCAATTAAGAACATGCAGGGAATTTATGTATTGCCTTCACTTAATTACAGGCACAATTTTCCTGTTCGAAATTTTAGTGATTCTTTCAAGGCAAGTGGATTGGTGACATTTCTAGAAAAAAAAATAACTATATATATATTTGACATGATAGTTTGATATCTGAAATAAATTGCTAGCGAGCAGTAACTGTAATCATAAAATAAAACCGCATCTGATTTTGAAGCTCAAAACATTTATTTTTTTGGTTTAATTGTATTCTATTTGTTTGTTTGTTACTTTGTTTTAAATAATAATTTATAATTCATTTGCAATTATAGAATAAAACAAAATACAATGTAACACTGCCCATAGATATCTAACATTATGAAAAGCAATAGTGCTCACCCACTGTTTCCGTTGGTGGAATATCGTGCAGACAGATCCTATCCAGGGAGATTGGTTGTTTGTATACCGTGTACAGACACCTGTCCCCGGGGAGCGGGGTCTTCGAGTCACCCCCGGATGTCTGCTGTTTCTACACAAAGTTAAAATATATATCAGTCAAACACCTATGAAACCAATCTGGTGTTTGTGGTATTTCATCTCACGTGTTACACGTGTAAATGATTTATTTTAGATACGATCACAATTAAGGTTTATCGACCCTCATATAAGAGAGATAACTCTGGAATAAACCTTTATAAAGTCCATTTCTGTCAAATTTTGCTTCGCAAAGTATGTTGATATTGTTTGATTTTAACTATAAATTATAATTTAGCTTGAAAATCTCACATGTTAAAGCAAAATTTTAAATGAACAGATCGATATATGATAAACATAAAGGGAAGGAAACTTTATTAAAAAGCAGATCCGTATTTAACTAAATGAATTTATCACGGTGGTGCAACGAAACATAATATGAACACTATGCGTCTTACTTTTTTGGCAGATTTTTTCAGCCGGGTAAGTAGTAAAATATCATCAAAGAGAAAAAGGTACATGTCGAGCATCTTGGTGGCTTCTGTAAAAATGTTGAAAGGAGACATTATCATTAATTTTAGGTAAACAAAAAAAAAGCTAAAACTGTTGATTTACAAACATATAAAACCTCTTTGTACTGTGATAAATGTACAACCTTAAATTGCTTAAGTACATAAAATGTGTATAAAAAGTACCCAATCATATACATGTAATTTGTGAAACAATATACCGGTATATGATTGTTAATTAAATGAGGGGAAACACATGCTTATTTTTTTCACCGTAAGTAACAATAAATATCTGTTGATCAATACATTTACTATACATCTAAATTAAAGATTCAAAACCATGCGTAAGACAAGGAAATGACAATTCTGATAGACTTCACCTATTAGAGTTAGCTGCCCTTCATGAAGAAGCTGTCGGTCAGGACACGTCAGTAGAAGGTGATCACACGGCTGTTTTAGTAATGTCGGCTTTAAATACTGCAAAGAAAATTCTAAGCTAATCCATATTGTTTAATGTCCAAAGTTTGTGAACATAATTAATACCAGTTAAATTTTCTTGTATTAAAGGACTTTTTTTCAGATTTTTTCAGGAATCCGTTCCATTTAATTATATAGATTTTTTTTTATTCTTTGCCAAAAACCTGTTCTTAAAGATCAGTAATATATGTATATCTTACAGAAAATACATATAAAATCACAAGTGGGTGAAAATTTAGTACACTATAAATGTCTGAAATGAAATCTAAAAAAAAAAAAAATCAATAACCGTCTCTGACAACGTATATGTATACGTGACTCCTCCCGTGGAGATTGTACTTAAAAATGGTGTGAAATTCAGGTTTTCATTTTCACTCTTCGGCTTGCTTAAATGTTTGCAAAGATGATTATTATTTTTTCACGAGAAGTTTTTTTTTTTTTGCACTTCATTCTAAATTGTGTAGAAAACAAAATACTGTATCAGATATTGAATTTACTACCAACATAAAACTCTGTGTTTATACCTAATAACAATACAGTTTCATGTATAATGATAAAATCTTCAAGACGACGAATCAAAACTGGCAGGATGTATGTGATAAGCATTTTGAATAAGTATTGACACAACCACCATCCATTTCTACGCCCTGGCTGAAAAGGAAGTACTAATACTCGGCGCATGCTTGGTTTAATGTGTTTTTAGCTCTAGAGCTCTGAGTAAATATAGTCATGTGATTTATGTGGTCATTGTCCAACTTTTATTTCAAAATTTAAAATAAGACACATTCCCTTGGTAACTTGCCTCTGGAATGAATACTCTGGGGTCAAAGTCAGTCACCGGCGGCCATGACAGTTGGCATGCGATCTCCTGCACTCTCTCGTAGTTCTTTGCCCACTGCATTTTGTCTTCCATCTTTTCTGTTTAAGACAAAAGTTGCATTGCTGTTCTTAAATAATCATCGAGCTAATTTGTCCGGTTTATTAGAAGGAATGATATGTATATTATTTCTCTTTCTTTTTAATTTAGACCTCAGTCACCTCACTCTCAGTGACATTATTTGAAAAAAACGCTTACAAAGACACCACGCTATGATCACCTGGAATTTACCACCCGGTAAAAAATCTCTGAATTGGAGGAAGTATTCTGCTGATTATGCTGAGGTGTCAGCCATTTTTACGGAACTTCTCTGGTTTTATCAATCAAAATATGTATAAATTTTCCCCCACTAACCCCCTATTATCTATTTGTATTTTGACTGATTCTCTGTAGTTTTGACAGGTTCTAAAAATATTAAAAAAAGTTTAATTCCAAATCATAAGTTTTCAGAGAAAGAAATTTTCCATTCAATGTCTGTGCAAAATCCCAAGAAGTCTGGTTTACCGTCATATTTTCAATGCCTTGTATCTCACTCATATTTTTATTTTACATGTCAATAATGAATACATCGAATTAAAGTGCCAGAATTTAAAAGTTGAATTCAAGTTATATCAACAGAATGCATCCTTAATATTGACATTCACTTACGTAAAGACATTTCCACCCTTGAGATAGACTCGGTTAATTTGTCGACTTCATCCTCAACTTCAGTGTATTTGCGGATGTTGCTCAGCAATAGAGGTAGTTTGGTGCAATGCTGCAACGGGGCCACCAGGAGGTCTGTAAGCTTTAGTCGCTGGCATCGGGGATCTTGACAACATGCCTTTTGAAAGCCCAAAAAAAAAAAAAACACTGATATGTAACACCCAAGGTAAGGGTTTGATCGTTACTTAAAGCCAATTTTATAAAAGGGATGAAAATTCTACATTGAACAAGTTAATCTGTTATGACTCGTGTGTCACTGCAATCGCGAAAAAACTTTGCTACAGATCCGTAGCAGTCATCCAAGTACAAATGTATGTACAGCTAGCTTATGGACAACTGTCATGAGAACTGTAATTTATTACAATTTCCTCTTTCATGAAAGAAAGAATATTTTATATGATAGTAAATGAAAAAAAGGGAAGGCATATGAAACTTAATAGCTTCTTTCTGTCTTGAAAAACTTGCGAAGTTGGCGACTATTTCGCTCAAGTTGCTCTTGCGTGGGACAAAAACACTTTCAAAAAGGATCGGACTAAAAAATTAGAGTCGCTTCGGGAAACGGAAACAAACTTTTTTTCTAGGCCTTATTTAAGTCTTGCAGTAAGATTCGGAATCGCAGCTATTAAATTGAAAAAAGAGTTCCTTTTTCAAAGTCTTCCTAGCAATGTTTATTATTTTGAATCGCCACAATGCAATTCCTTAAAACAAACTCTAATCTAAACAAATATTTTTGCCAATTAAAATATTGCAAAGTAATTATTATTGAAATTTTTTGGAATTATAATTTTTTTTTGCAATATATAGACTTACCTTTTCAAATTCGTTAAAGTCATCGTTTCTCCGTAAACGTTCTAAACACGTCAAAGCATTGGTGTAGTTCAAGCAATACGTGTGATAAACATCTCCATCTTTGGAATGTGAAGAGAACTGAGAAATAAATAAATGAAAAAATAAGACAACACATGATCACAGCATTTGTAACATTAAGGTTTTAAATTTCACAAAAAAATTCTACACAACTAGTCTCGACAACCAGATACGTCTAGCTCGATTTAGGTCAAATTTAGAGATTGCATCGAAGTCGAAAGAGTCGAACTGACCCAGACTAACAACTATTATCTGTTAATTGAAGTGCAATCTTCAACGTCCTTTACATTATAAAAGTGTAATCAATAACTAGGTCAAAGAACTTGTTGAAAGCATTTACATTTGCCAATATATTTTTTTTTTACATTATAATGACATTGAGCAGCCACAAACTACAAGCATTAAAACTGCAATATTAAGGGAGTACATGTATATGTAATAAGTAATCTTACGAATATCATAAAGGGTCATACAATATGTTCTAATAAAATTCTTTTGAAATGCATAGAATATAGTACTGTAAATGTAATACACATGAATGTTAATATTGAAATGTCTTAAAATCAGCTGTTTCCTGAATACTACCCGTGCATAAAGACGGAGTGTTATCGGTTTATCGAATGTGTTTAAGGTAATTTACTTCTGTTTTAGGTACATGTATGATTAAATAAGAAGTGTGGCAATTTCAAATAAATGAGAACTTATCAAATCACCCTGTCAAACGCCTTTAGAAGAACGGTAGTGCTTCCGAATTCTGTTGAGCTCATGGCTTTGACCAATGTAGCAATAAAATCTTTACAAAATGTGTAGCTAACCTACAAACAAGATAATACATTTGTGACTGAAGAGCAAAAATTAGTGTGGTTGCAACAAAATTCAAATATTCATATAGATATCACATTTCTTTTTTTATTTCTATACTTTTTCACTTACGTAACATAATTCGTCTAGATTACCGAACAAATCTTCGGGCTCGGCATACATCAGATGACCTTCTACCTGGCACTTCTTTAAAGGTTCCATAAAACACTTCAAAACAAAATCGTAGTAAATTTAATTTCTTTATATACCATTAACGTAGAATGACTTTTCTTTCCTTTTTTCCTTTTTTTTTTTTTTTTGTTTTTTAATTAATGCGATAATTATGGGGTTTTTTTTTTAAAGAATAACTGTCAAAATCGTCGAAGCAGCTTTTAAACGTGTACCTAACCTATAGATTTTCCTTTTTTGTTTAAGCAATATTTTCTGTTGTTTTAGTTGGTAGTATAAATGATTCTTCGGGTGAGCATGGTCAATTTTGATCAAATGTATCAATTCATAAAAAAAAAAAAAATTCAAGAGTACATAATGTACTTTCCTACTTTCGGTAATATGTCCTGACTTTTTTCACAAGTCATAAACATATGACCTGTTGATGTAACCTTTGAAGTAATGAAAGAGATATGTTTATAATAGTCAAATGTGGGCCATGTTATAGTTGGCTTAAGGTGATTCTATTATTTTTCCTATGTGTACTAAGCAATAAGGACCTGGAACTGATAATTGAATTTGTTGTAATCTAGTCGTATACAAAAGTACAAAGATTGTAATGTCTCTATCAGTTCTTGCTTCAATTTCAAGTGAACCATTTGTTTGTGAAAACTCCCAAACTCAAAAATAACATTACGTGACTGTCTATTTTTGAAATATTATGTATGGCCATTTTGAACCTTCCATTGTATTAACCAAGACTTGGATAACACGTACATGCTTGAGGACCATCAGGTGATTAACAAGGAACACACATTCGCTTTGGAATAATTCCCAGACTGCCTCGCGGCGCTTCCGCTCCTTTTCCGTGAGTTGAAGTTGATCGCTGGCCTTGTCGTTGTGTTTGTCCGTGCTCGCTATCAGCTCAGACCAGTGTAAATTCTAATAGAAGTGATCATTAAAATTAGGGAAGTGACTTTTTACAATTGACAGGTATGTACAAAGTGTTAATTTTATTTCAATAAAGAATTGTTTTGGCTTAAAAGTCGAGGCTAATGTCCATGGATTTATATTAACACCGTTTATATTCATTACATAAATGTTTCAAAAGTATTCAGAAAAATACGATGTTAAATGTTTCAAAAGAATTCAGAAAAATACGATAGAAACCCCAATAAAAATTTCAATGATTCGTGCTTTTATCATGCAATCCTTGCCAACCACATGCTTTGAAATAAAGTAGAGGGATTTTTTTTTTCTTTTTTTTTTTTTTTAAAAGGGGATTTTCTTCTCAGATATCACCATTTTTCTTACAAAATACTTTTTTTTTAAATATGAAATTGCTGTGTACAACTTTTTTAGTGAATGAAAAATATATTCAGTATCTATGAAAGTAATTATTCAGATTTTTATTAACTGAAGAGGGTCTTGTGATTGACGGGCAGTTCCTAACATTTAAATACTATCTGGTCTGACGTACTGCTTGTTTCGAGTTATCGTACTTTGTAAGCCAGTAGATGATTGTCCTTAAATTCACTGGGTTTCATATTCAACAGGACGTCTTCAAGTTTTGCCATGGACTCTTTACTACGAGAGCGCATCTAAAATAGATAGAAAAATTATTCCTTTTAAGGAAAGTGATCAGGAAATGAAATAGGGAGAGTCAAGTTTGTTGCGTAAATAATAGGACAGACTGTACTACACAGTCAATAACCTCATAAACCAAATTCACTAGTGCAATCGAGATTTATTCGAAACACTATATCATCAACGTTTCAACTTTTCTTTAAAAGGAAAGGTATACTTAAAGGTGTACAGTGTACTTCCGAAACGGAAAAGAATAAAATTCTTACGCACAGAGAGAAAAAAAAAGTAAGAAACTGTATAAATGCAATGCATTAACAAGAAGTTCCTTCGTACAAACATGTAACATATGATAAATTTACATGAAGTTGTCAGTGCAGAGCAAACAAAGTAGTCCGTTACGTCAACTGCAAATGGTTACATTTACCGGATGTCTTAGGTGGGATCAACTGTGATCAACCGAAGCTAATCATAAAATAGGATTACAAGAGCTGACGATTTTTGTCCCTCACACCTATTGTACATGTATATTTGAATCACAGACACTATACTCACAAGTTTGAGCAGGGAAAATGTAGACTGTCGTCCTTTTTTAGAATCTGAAAGAAAAATAAAAGGTCTCGTCTTCATAAAGGTCATCTCAACTATGTATTTGAATTCAAATTGACCTTTTTTAAATGAAATGCTTTTGCATAGGTGATTATTTACTAATATTCTTATTTAACCAATTGAATTATCATACTTTCTTTTCAAATCTTACCATCATTTTGATTGGCTGGTACAGAAGAACCACGAGACATAGAGAACTCGGCGATGGTGTTTCTTTTTAACAATTTCCGGTGCTGATCAGCGACCAGGAGCTCCCCAGGGTGGGTGTACATGGTTGTTTCAAGGGAAGAACGATGTCGCTGAACTCTGTTAATGCTGAAAACAGTTAACAGGAACAACGAGCATAAATTGCTCTAATACCACTGAATACAGATATCACAAAATTATCACGATTATGGGTGACAATATTCAATACTTCTTCCTTATATATAACAGCTATAATTCCATGTTGCCGTTATATTCGATAATATTATTAAGAAGTAAGGTACGTATATACAGAAATTTTATTGAAAAAAAAAATATCAAAGATGTTTGTATTTTTGGTGCACCTTTCGTAATTTCAAATATTTTGTATATTTCAAATCAAAATGTAACGAGTTTAGGGTATTTATTAAAAATTTTATAGTTTCCCAATATCAGTAAATGTATAAATTTATTGACGAGTATTTACAATAATACACCTATAACCTACCTACGATTTTCCCCCTCGTCACAGGAATTCCCAGGAGATCCCTCAGGTGAGAGATTTGTAGGAGACACATCGCCAACATTCTGTGAAAAAATCTCAAGGCGTTAATAAGCTTACCCAGAATAGATTCTAGATTTCAATTTCCTGGGAAATGAGCTGTTGTTTTACCTTTGTGTCCACGATAGCTGACCTTCGACCTCTACGTGACAATGGAGGGGAGGGTTCATTATCGCTCTCCTCCGAACAACTGGCACTAGCTGATAGGCGTCGCCTTCGACCTCGATGCACCTAGAAAACAAAATAAAAAGACAACTTTAACACTGTATAGATGTTTACATGTATGTAACAATAAGAGAAATTTTTTTGGTTAAATTTTCAATCGAATGTTTTAATAAGTCTACAGCACTTTGAATTTTAATCCGTCATAAGATGAAGAAAATATTTAAAATGTTCTTATGCTTACACCCAAAACCACATCGCAGGGATTTTGATGCATTATTAGTCAATTTATTACATGTGCATTATATATTATATATATACATTAATTGATATCAAACATCACGTTTTAACATGTCTAATTTATATCAGTAAAGTGTTCGTAATTATACGTTCCAGGATATCCGCCATTTTAGTATAAATAGCTACTGTACGCATGATATCTATACCTATTCCATCAGTGCATCACAATTACATATTTTCGCCACAAAACTTACATAAAGAGATATAATAAAGGCGTTGTAATTTAGGTGAAAAAACAGCGTTCATTGACATTCAAATCGATAAACAGAGTCACGGGTCTGCTTAAAGGTTAATAAAATTTAGACAAAAGTTGGAGAGAATGCATCAAAAAATTTAAGAGCCATTCTCTGTAATGACTTGAACTTTTATATAGGAGCTGTGGCACGCATAGTCTCAGAATTTCTCCAAACTCTCTATGATAAAAGACTTTGATACCGTAAACTCAAATCAGGCCAAAATTGGTTGCTACGTGTCATGGTTACCATAGCAACATGTTTTAAAGTTTGAAAAATGGCATTTTTCAACATCTTCAGAGTCCCACAGTTAACGTTTGCAGCAAAGCAAACAAGTGGCAATGACTGTTTCTGAAAGTTGAAGGCCTGGTGTCTTAAATGCATGATAAACATGTTTGGTAAATCATCTTTAACATACGTTACTATGGAAACAAAGTATTCAAAAGTAATAATTTTGTTCATTTAATTTTATAAAGTCATACACTTAAGAATAAAAACAATTATAGCTTGAAATGCAAGCAATTAATAGAGAAGAGATCCTTGTAACATATACCAAGGACAAAATATGATATTTCTTATAGGTTGGCAATGGTTGCCATGGTTTTAATACCACGAAGGGATTTTAAATTTACTCTCCTAGTGTTTTAATCTTATCCTATCTTTTTAAAAAGCATATTTCTATATAACTGATGATCAATTTTTAAAGGCCTTGGTGTGACCCTAATTCTTACATTTCAACAAATTCAATTTCAATTCTTTAAATAGTGCGTTGCTATGGAAATAAGGCGAAAAAACATGCATAAAAATCTGAAAAATACTCTGTTTCCTTGGATACGTACCGTTGTATGTAGATTCCCAAAACTTTAATGATTGATATATGTGAACAACTAACCTGACTTTCAATTTTGACTATCACCCAATCTCTAACTGGATGCAAAAAGCTGGCACATAGGGTCTAATATTGACAATTAATTAACAAAATCGAACAATTTCTCTTCTTGGTAACCATAGCAACAGTGTTGTATTTTTCAATAACCTTTATCAATATATGATATTCAACATTAGTTCTACGAGATAAGTACTATTCAAGGTGATTCAAATAATATTTTTCTTGATTAAAAGGTTAGTAAATACCCAAAGCAGCAAAAAAATATCACTTTAAACAACTAGTACATTGTTTCCATGGTTACACTGCAAAGTAACAATTAATCTCAATTTTTCTTATGTTGTCGGTGTTGCAAGGTCCTAAGGATGCATATGTGCCAGTCATGAATTTTATTGTTTTTCCTCACGATAGTAGCATTAACCCAATCATAGCAACAGATTTTGCATGGTGACACTGTGTTATCATGGCAACCATGAAAGTTATTTTTAGAATAATATTGCCAATACCTAATTACATGAGGTCAAATATTTTTCATTGTTTTTCGAGTTTGTTTGTTTGTTTTATTTGAACCAGAGACATTACATCTCATAGGTATACAAAATATGTACATAAATATTTATACATAAGCTTTGCACAGGATAAGTGTAGTATATGCTATACAATATACATTACATGTGGCAATTACATAAACAATAGCATTTAATGTATTATCATTTCTTACTGTACACTATTTAAAACATCATTTCTTAATTGATAAGAAAAATACAGAAATTTACCTAGGTTACATAGTTCTTTAGTATTTGTGGAACTCAGTAACTGTACTAATTTAAAAACTGATGGTTTTTTAAAATAATAACTCTTGATATATTTAATTCTTAGTTCTTCATATCGAGGACATTTTAATACAAAGTGAAATTCGTCCTCTATCTCATTTGATATACATATTTCACATTTTCTATCTTTTCTTTCTATGTTACAATACCTTCCCCTCTCTATCTTTAAATCATGCGCTGATAGTCTTAAACGACTAATAGGTATTCTATACTTTGAATGTAATGGTTTTCTTAAATACGTCTGAAGTACAACATTATCCACTACATGTTGATATAAAAAATATTTAGGAGAATTACAAATTCTTGCCATAATATCTTGTTTATAACCGTCATACATTCTTTGAAATACGATGTTCAAAGAATTATTATCAATACAATTGCTATTATACATGTCAGTTAAACCAAGCCTTTGAAATTCCTTCTTAATGTTTACAATCCATTCATCATTATTTTCCACCATATCTTGATAACATGATTGTAAAATACAATTATCACTGTTTTTTAATTTCACCCAATATTTCAAAATTTTCTTTTTCCTTTCTAGTATAAGTGGAAATCTACCTAATTCACAATAAACTGCATCATTACTGGTGCTTTGTCTGACTTTTAAATCTCTTTTACAATAAGTTAAGTGAACATTTTCTATATCTTGACCCTTGTGAAATCCCCACACTTCAGCTCCATAACTCATTACACTGTTAATATAGGTATCGAATACTGCTAATTGTGTTTCTACGTTAAAATGCAAATCCCTAGTTTTACTGTTTACACCATACATAGCTTTTTTACCCTGACATGAAAAATGTTTCTGTGTTTCAGCAAATTTGCCATTATAATTGAACAACATTCCTAGATAATTAAATTGATTAACAACTTCAACAATGCAACCGTTGTATATCCAACGTTCATTTTCAAGGATTTTACGACTATTGCGAAAAATTAATATTTTTGTTTTTTCAACATTTACAGTTAAATTCCACTCTGTGGTGTATGTATACAATGCATCCAACATTCTTTGTAAACCATCAGCAGAGTCAGATATTAAAACAGTATCATCTGCATACATCAGTAAAAATATATTTAACATCTGCAGTTCAATTGATGGACAATTATTTGTAATAAAGTGACGTTCAAAGTCATTCAAATACATAGAAAATAACAATGGTGATAAAATTTCTCCTTGTAACACACCAGACGTAATTTCAAAATACTCTGTAAGTAAGCCATTATATTTTACACATGCCTTGATATTATCATATAAAGACTTAATAATACAAAGTAATTTCCCTTGAATACCCTGAGAACTAATTTTAAGCCACAAGTTAAGTCTATTGATATAATCGAAGGCTTTTTGATAATCCACAAAACAACAATAAAGTTTCCTTTTGTTCCTTAAAAATTTGTTAACTAGCGTCTGTAGTACAAATATTGCATCAATGGTACTTGCACCCGGCTTGAATCCAAATTGTGCATCTGTAATTATGTTATATTCTTTGTCCCAATGCATTAGTCTATTATTTTTTTTTAGTTTTTCTTACATTGTTGATTGAGTTTGATCATGTAACATCTATCATTTGTGACTATAGAGCGTTTTTCAGCATTTTTCAGCATCTAAAATGTATTCCAAATGTACCCATGGTTACCACTTACTTAGAGATTAATTCTAAATAGTTTCTTTATAGCATAAGTGGCAAGAAGGTGTCATGTTTTTGGGAGAATGGTTTGTTTGTTTTTCTTAGTCTTTATTAAGACTTAATAAAGATTTAAAGTAGCTGAAAATCTCAATTTTTAGCTCTACTGGTCAGAGACCAGAAGAGCTTATGCGATAGTAAGGTGTCCGTCGTCCGTCCGTCTGTCTGTCTGTCTGTCTGTCTGTCTGTCTGTCCGTCTGTCTGTAAACAATTTTTCAAAACGCTACTCCTCCTACAGTTTTGGTCCGATTTCAATATAACTTGGCACACAAGTAGACTACACTAAGATACATAATTAAGTGCATCGGTTTTTGATTTCGATGGACGGTGTTGCCATGGTTACTAAAAATAGAAATTTCTGTGAAATTCCTTTAAAACGCTACTCCTCCTACAGTTTTGGTCCGATTTCAATATAACTTGGCACACAAGTAGACTACACTAAGATACATAATTTAGTGCATCGGTTTTTGATTTCGATGGACGGTGTTGCCATGGTTACTAAAAATAGAAATTTCTGTGAAATTCCTTTAAAACGCTACTCCTCCTACAGTTTTGGTCCGATTTCAATATAACTTGGCACACAAGTAGACTACACTAAGATACATAATTTAGTGCATCGGTTTTTGATTTCGATGGACGGTGTTGCCATGGTTACTAAAAATAGAAATTTCTGTGAAATTCCTTTAAAACGCTACTCCTCCTACAGTTTTGGTCCGATTTCAATATAACTTGGCACACAAGTAGACTACACTAAGATACAAAATTTAGTGCATCGGTTTTTGATTTCGATGGACGGTGTTGCCATGGTTACTAAAAATAGAAATTTCTGTGAAATTCCTTTAAAACGCTACTCCTCCTACAGTTTTGGTCCGATTTCAATATAACTTGGCACACAAGTAGACTACACTAAGATACATAATTTAGTGCATCGGTTTTTGATTTCGATGGACGGTGTTGCCATGGTTACTAAAAATAGAAATTTCTGTGAAATTCCTTTAAAACGCTACTCCTCCTACAGTTTTGGTCCGATTTCAATATAACTTGGCACACAAGTAGACTACACTAAGATACATAATTTAGTGCATCGGTTTTTGATTTCGATGGACGGTGTTGCCATGGTTACTAAAAATAGAAATTTCTGTGAAATTCCTTTAAAACGCTACTCCTGCTACAGTTTTAGTCTGCTTCTAATATAATTAGGCATACAAGAAGACTATACTAAGATACATAATTTATTGCATTGGTTTTTGAATTCGATGAACAGTGTTGCCATGGTTACATAAAATAGAAATTTCTGTGAAATTCCTTTAAAATGTTACTCCTCCTACAATTTTGGTCTGATTTCAATCTAATTTGGCACACAGTTAGAATACACTACAATACATAATATGTATTTCTGTTTTTTTTTATTTGGGTGAATGGTGTTGTCATGGTTACTAGAAATAGAAATTTCCATGAAATACTTTCAAAACGCTACTACTCCTAGTTTTCATTTGATTTCAATATAACTTGTCACAAAAGTAGACTACATTAAGATACATAATTCTATTTATTGTTGCATGTTGCAATGTTTCAAATCCAAGTGCTACTTTTCTTTTGTTATACAAACAGACCAGTAGAGCTACAGTCTCATCAGAGACTTCTGGTTTCAACTTTTCTGGCTGTTACCATGGCAACCAAGACACATAGCAACGAAATTTTATTTGATATATGTTTCTGGTGTCAAGTTGTAATAATGGGCAAAGTTTCATCAAAATCGGTGACCATGCGTGGCAAAGAAGTTTAAGTGGTTACAGAGAATCGCTATTAACTGAATCTTCCGTATTTATTAACGTCAAGTTCTCATTACTCACAAAAATCAATGAATTGAATTATATACATGTATTTTGATGAAATTTGCATTTATTGATATACGGAGCGAATTTAAAAAAAAAAAATGAACCAAAAAACAACAACAGCAACAACCCCCAAAGAAACCCTGTATGAAGAGTAGCATTATTCAAAATGTAGAATATTAAATAGGCGCTCCCCATGTAAAATTGTAAATGTCGAAATGATGGGTTTTTTTTTTGTTTTTGTTTTTGTTTTTTTGTACATAGGTCTAGCCCTCTATATTATAAAACCAACTGTTGATTATGATTTTATAGCATAGAGGGGTTGACCTATTTGTAAACATTTCGTCATTAATTATTTTTCAAATTACATGGGAGCGTCTATGGAGTATCAAGCATTTTCATTTTTCTTCCTCTCTCGATTTAATATAACATAAAATACTTAAAGACTGATAAGAAATGCAAAATCACATGACTTTTTGACACGTGTCCCGTAAAGACATTTTTTTCTTTGTAAAAAATGAAGAAAAAAAAAACGGTATATATTTATGTCACGTTTCTTAATATTGTCATTGTAAAAATTATAACACATACGATAAATGTTTTGATTTTTATAGTCTTTGACTAAATTTCCTAATATTATTTTGAGCATGCGCGCTCCTGTCGGTTACTCTGCGCTATTCAGTCCCATTGTTGTTTCACTTGAAAGCTTACATATGCCCCAGAAGATCCGGGAGCATAATGTTTTGTCCGTCTGTGTTCAAAGAAATGAGTATTTGGCTTCAACTTTGACCTGTACTAGTTAAACTCTTCAAAATTTGCCACGCATATCGACCTGATGTCCTTTCAAGTGTACTCAGATCAAAAAACCCTGTGTTCGCGATCGTCCGTTTGTTTGTGATTTATTTTTTTTTTAATAAATAACTAGTGGATCGGTTGTACTACAGAGTGTAGTTTCGACCTTTCTGACTTTTGTATTTACTGGAAGTTAAGTATAAATGCAAATGTCGGGTTGCTCTCTTTCGATCGATCGATCGCTCGACTAATATCTGACTATATCCAGGAAATAATTGTTTTTTACATCCTAATTTTGCCATACAGTATTTTGGGACATCAATGTTTAATACATACGCATTTTTTCATTCAGTTCCTTGTTTTCATCTTTTTTTTCAATTTACATTCATCTCTTCCGTCTTTGGATTCAAATAAACTGATATTTTATTTTTAATTTACTCCTTTTTTGTTTGGTTATTAGCTTTTCGAGAAATCAAAAAGAATTGAAACTCAATCTTAAACAGCAACTGTACAGGTGTACAAATGACATTTTTATTGTTGATGTAGGTCCAAAACGTTAGCATGTACATGTACCGTTTATCAAATGAATTTAATTGTGCAATTCTATCTTGCCGTGAATAGAAAACCCAATTGATGTACTCCAGGAGCGAAGCCTCATCACTCAAGGGAAAAAAGAAAAGAGTGCCAAAGATATACATGTATGATCCCCTTTTCTATTTGTTTCAAAACATCATCAACTGGCTTCAATAATATTTTTATAATTTGCCAAATTGAAATATTTCCACATAAGATATACAAAATACGAACCTTTCTGGGAACGGCTAGAAATTGCTGTCCTTTCTGTAGATGTATCAGAGATTCACTAGTATTGGAATCACCTGCTCAACATATCAGGAATAATTAATTACAGAGGTTATCTTAAAGTCTTACAGAGTTTCCCTTGTTTATTGCATAGAAATCTGCATCTTATGAAGGTTAGATCAGACAGATACATGTAATAATTCACAGCTCCACACTACAAAAACTTATTTGGAGATTTTAAGCATTGTGGATTAAGTTGATTGGGTTAGCGTGATCCGGTGTGACGTGGGTCTATAGCTAGATGTTTTACTGTGCGGGCAGAACAAGCAGGCTTGCGAAAAAAAATACCTGTCAACATTTGAAACCTAAATTTTAGTTTCATTTTATAGGGGTATAGACATAAATGCATTTCCAATACATTTATTCACAATTTTGATAATTTTCAAAGATTTAAACTGACATATAAATTATTCGTTTTCATCAATAACGTCGATTCTTCATGTTCTTCACAACCTTACAATAAACAAATAAGCTCTCTTATATCGGGTAGTATTCGAATTGCTAACACTGCACGCATCACTGAATATTAACTTAACATTACTATTAAATGCTGTTTATCAGTGTTTAAATACATGAAAAAACTCAATGCTTGCTAGATCTTTAACTTAAGAATGTTTTAATAGTTGCTACCTGAGGTATCCTCCGATTCTGACGTCACTGTGAGTCCGGGAATGTCATGAAATATGTCCGGTGAAACACGGGGTGACGACAGCACGGTAACAGAACCCGTCTCTAGTCCAGGTATCCCGGCAAACACCGCCTGTAATTCGCCATCTGATGGCAAATTATTTTCGCGCGAGATTTCAATACCGCTGAAAAATGAGAATATCAAATATTTATCTTCACATTATACACAAACAGGATGTAGGCACGTAGTATCAGGGGGGACCCGCCCTTTCGAGTTTGGACAATATTCCTTTTTTTGGCTTGTCAAAGTTTTCAGGTAAGTTGCCCCCCTTTCAAAAACGATACTACGTGCCTAGGATATCAGTTATTTCACATTCTGCATCTCAAGTTGTTCTTTACCTCCAGCTGCACTGTAAATCCATTTTTAAATCAGAACTTTTTTTCCCCAAAAATTAGTAGTCTAAGAATCTTCCATCACTTGGAATGCAATATCCCGAGCCCAAGACAAGTAACAACAGAATGACATATTTCAGTGAAGTCTCTATTTTGTAATCTGTTAACTCTCTGACATTTATAAATGACGATAAAAACCATAAAATCTTTTTCTCATATCAAGTGAAAAAAATTGAACCAATTTCAGTCTCGAGTTTATTAGAAATGTGACGTAAAAATCGACATATTTAAACAAAAACCAATCCCTTGTAGTGGGCATATGAATTACAGGTAAAACAGGCCGCCTTATCAATGTATATATTGAGCATCAGCCATCTGTGGTGTCATCAACAATGCTACCGAGTAATTTGAACCCTTCCATTGAGATATTTTACGCAATTTTATCGGTATTTTAATTATAAATATTACTTTTTCTAATAATTATCCCCTGTATAGATTATTATTCCCTCAAAACAAAGTTACAAAGGAGTATATATTGTAAACCAACTTTTATTCGCGTGCGAGAATTATTCGCGAGTTTTGCGACCTACTTTAACTCCCGAATATTAATCGACGCGAACCATTTATTTTGCTTTGTATTTGTAGAGAATGTTTCCTTAGTCGCGAATATTAATCATCGCGGATTGATTTCAAACTGACGAATCGCGAATAAAAGTTGACGCCAATAATAGTTAGTTTACAGTAATAGTTACTGGCCAATGTTTGCGTCCATCCATGTGTAATGTACGCGTGTTTGATTTACCTTAGTACACATGCGTATGCTGGTATTGTGAACACAGAAGAAAAAAGTATATAACTTGATTTTAAGTCCTCCTCCTGCTACAGAAGAACTAGAAATCCAGAAAACGAAGTTTAAATTTAAGGTCAAGGTCACGGTTAAAGAAATTGAAAGTTCTGTCCGTTATTCTGATTGTCTGTAACACTTTCGTTTCCGGATGATATTTTTAAAAGTCCTTATAAGCTTTTACAATGAAACTCTATATTCTAACTAAATATGACTTGAAAAAAAAATCAATTGATTTTGAGGTCAAAAGATCAATGGTCAAGGTCGCAAATTTAAATCTTGCATAAAATGATTTCCCAATGATAAGTGTAGTTCTTTTTAAGCTTTTCAAATGAAACCAAAGGTGATGACTTTTATTAGAAGGACCCCTATTTATTTTAAGGTGAAAGGTAAAGGGCACAAATTCGTATACTGTTTCAAATTGTTTTTGGCTAATATCTCAAATAAACTTTAGTCCATATGGAACATAAATTCCTTAAATTAGCTTGTTATTGCATTGACATTGACCTTGACTTGTTTGACATTGAATACATGTAAATAGGAAGTGTGTTTTCTCTATCACCTATAACCTCTATAACCTATTTTAGTTTGATAGGTCAACTGATTAACATATTGATTAACATATTGTGTCCGCAACACCGTAATGGAGTAACCGCTCCTATTATTTTGAGCTTTCATATATTGACCCTAAAATCTTGTTTGCTAGTTTCCCTGGTAACCGAAATGTACGAATGAAGCAAACTTACACATATCACATGCTGTTTCATGAACGTCGCACGCATTGGTAAATTTTCCATTTTTAGAACAGAAAAATGCAAACTCTCTAGTGAAAACTCTCTTACTACTCTTATGGGTGTACAGACTGAACCTAATATAAAATTAAGAATTCTTCACAATTTGATTATGATACAAAATCAATTGCAACACTAATATTTTGGCAATGGGAATCTTCCTAACCATTTTCACACGGCTTTATATTTTCCCGCTGTTCTCATTTCCAAACACAAATCTCATTCTTCTGTTTCTTACTTTTTAATCATACACTGGGCCTTTCATCTAACATATGAATGAATGTCAGAGATCATAAACCGATTCTAAACAAGTTTTTTTTTTTTCAAACATGACATAAATTAATTAAAGTCACCATGTTCTTGAAATTGAGATCGAAATGAAACTGTAACATCAGACCAAAAGTGTACAATTACCAACCTTGTATATCTTGAAATTATTCATAATAAAGGAACTTTTTATCTCTCCCAAGGAATGATGCATGCATTATTCAGTATAAGAACATACCTGTTCAATTCTGAGTAAAATTTTCTCTCGGATCTTGGTGTCCTTATTCCTGATGAGGTATCCATCCGCGCTTGATCAGAATCAATAGGGTTTGTTTCCGACAAGAAGTCTTTATCACGTAGCCCGTTAAATGAATGCGGTCTGTTTCCATGAAACTGGCTTTGTTCTCGTGACACAGTGTCATTCAAACTTTTAGACCTCGCAACACTTATGTCATTTTTTGCTGCATATGAAAAATTAACGTGATCATCGACATCAGTTTCTTCATTTTCAGTTTCAGCCATCTGAAGTCGAGGCCAGGAGTTCGGAGACCGTCGAAGATCTGGGAAAGCATTTTGAGATAAATTCCATTTTTTGTCAGAATTTGTCGCAGTTGATCCTGGATGGAAGTTCTCACGGCTAGAGATATTACTTTTGATTGAAAATCGCCGTCGAAAGTCATGGTACTTTTCATTAGCACAGTCCCTTTGAGTGAAGAGTGAACTTGATGACCTGGAGGTCATAAGCCGTGGTTTAACACGCGGGCTTTTATTGATGGTAGGTTGAGAATGACCATGGTTAATGTCCTCATTAAGGTTGTCTTGGACATCCCTTAACAAACTACCTTCAGGATTAGAAAAACGAGTAAACTGAGGGGACCCCCACTCGGTTCGGGACTGCCCCACGTTTGGAACACCTTCATCATTTTCCAAGTGTCCTTTCAAATTTCTTTGAGCATCATGGGGCCAACTGTTGCCAAGTAAATGCCGGGACGATTTTCTACTGACCTTTGATTTTCGTGGTGGGACAGGCGGTGGTTTGTCCTGCCCCTGTTCATTATTGAGGTCTGCACCATCCTCCCCCTGGCTTCTCTGTTCCTCTTTTTCTAGACATAGAAAAAGAAAATATAGAAATAACTCTTCTAACCGTAGAACATCACCAATCTCAAACATTTTTAATGTTAATCAATTCGCCTTTTAATAATAGGTACATCCTTGTTCAAACGTGCTTTTACTTGGCTTCAATGTATTGGAGCACAAGCACAATATGCAGTGCAGAGAAAATATAATTCAGAATAATGAAGACTCAGTCAGTCGCCGGAGATGCAAATGTATGTTAATGCCTAGGGGATAAAATTGCCTTATCTTCAAAAATAGTCTTGTAAAAATTCCATTTAGTGTGAAAGTCCATTTTCTTACATGAAGCACGTATATAAAGACAAAACCCCTAGCTTGCAATTTGCATTCAAAGAGTACAGGTAAAATATTTATCTGATGGTTCTACATATTTTTACAAAGGCCCAAGGGCCTTAAAGGTCACCTGAGTATAATGATTGATAGACCATTTTAGCCAGTCGGTCGGGAGAGGGCAAACAAACATTTTTTTTTAAATATGACCCAATCAAGGATCAACAAAATAGTTAGTCTAGTAATCTTCAGATACTCTGAAAGTAGATCTTTATACTTGAGTATATTTGTAAGTGCTATTACTATATCCCATTTGTTACCACATGTATATCACCAGATTTTAAGACAATATACAGCCTACTCCGGATATATTGAAATTCAGGGGACCATGCAAATTATTTCAATATATCCGTAATTCAATATAAGCGAAATCGTGAAGCCGCCATTTTTACAAGTTCAATCCCGATCTAAAATAAAGAAGAACAAACCCGAACAAATTAATTTTGTCATCGTTTATCTATAACAGTTAACAGATTACAAAGAATATGAGTCCTTGAAGTTTTAAATATTTTTTTTAAATCTGTTTCATTGAAAAGACAATCTTCGATTCACCCCTCATTATTATTCCCCGATCGCATTTATTTACGTTTTGGAGAAAATTCACAGACTTGAACAGTTACATGTAAGCTGGTAAGTACTGCTGAATGCTGCTTGTATTTCATCGTAAGTGTACTCGGGTTAATCCCTTAGTTATTTCGAATTTAGGCATATGAATTAATTAACAGTACGTATTTAATTTCAAAGTTATGTTTTTTACCTAGATCTGTGGGGATTAGTATATTACGTTTAGCTGTTTAGCCTCAATATGTCCGTATTATATATGCGGACGCAAAAAATGGAACAGTGAAGAATTTTATTTCGTAAGAACATGCAGTATTAAAACACAAATGTTGAAAACTAAATTATTCACACCTTTGTATATCAACTGCTCAATCAGGCATAATTACTGTCACCAACCGTAACGACAGCCGCCAGGGAGTACTTCAATATAACCGTTATTAAAACAACTCATTATCACCTGTGGGGACCGATCAGTGGCTTCAATATAAGCGAAATTTCAATATAACCGATTTCAATATAACCGTTATTTTAATGCAAAGAATATGAGAGGCAAAATCTGGGGATTTATTTCTAATTCAAAATAAGCGGAATTTCAAAATAAGCGAGTTCAATATAAGTGGAGTAAGCTGTAGCTTCAGTATATCCTTTTAATCCAATGGCATGTTCTATTGAACTTTCTCTAGTACAGACACTTAACCGTACTTCAACGTCAAACTACAGCTATGTTACAACGCGAAATATAATAACAACGCACAATGTAATGAACCGGGATTATTGCACTTTGCATTATTACATTTTGCGTCAAGATCAACGCAGAATGTAATAACGCAAAATGTAAAAACAGACTTTTTAGGATTACTACATTTTGCGTTATTACATTTTGCGTCGAGATCAACGCAAAATGTAATAACACCATTTTTGGATTATTACATTTTGCGTTGTTACATTTTGCGTCGAGATTAAGCAACATGCAAAAACGCAAAATGTAATAACATACTTTTTGGTCAGTCAGGTTAAGAATAATTTGCAATTGAGTAGTGGATGAAGAAAATAACCAGAAAGAAAATAAAACAAAAGGGAAAATAAACATACACAAATTCTTACCTTAGATCTGATTTCATCATATATTGATTTCATTAGCCATTTAAAATCAGTTGGTATTCAAATCATAGGTGTTGCAGATTAGAAACGTGCGTGCGCACATGTGTGCGTGTGTGTGTGTGTGGGGGGGGGGGGTATTTCCTTGATCAGTGTATCAGTTTGCTTTTTTTCTTTTTGATAGGCACATGCATAAAATTTAGAAAAGAAATCTATTTATTTTTACTGGCAGATGTAAATATAGCGGGAAGGGGTTTCTTGACAGGTAAGATTTCATACTGTTTTACAAATCATGTGCATTGCAAACCAGCAAAAATAAAATTCTCTCTCTCTCTCTCTCTCTCTCTCTCTCTCTCTCTCTCTCTCTCTCGTTCTCTTCAAATAATGAAATAGATAGTTTCTGCATGCCCATAAAAATACAATGATGCATAAAAATACAATGATCAACATACGAAGTAACCCCTACCCCCCCCCCCCCGCTTCTCCTCGCCAGACACACACACATGCACTTCTAATTTGCTAAACAATGTATACATGCACGTCGTACATGCATATCAAGAGATTTTAAGTTTATAAATAGACATGTCAATCAAAGTTAAGTTAATGTTTTATAGGTATTCAATAAAAATGTTAGAAACAGAGTTTAAAAAATATACAATTATATTTAGTAATGTCCGTAAAAGCCTCTCCTACATCTCCTTTTGCTCATCATAACCAAGCACTATATCTGCTTAATACTCAGAAGCAGAGAAAAGGAAGTTAAAAGAAATAATGCATACATGTATTTCATTATATGATCAATAGATCCCTGCCCTAACACCAAAACCCTTAAATTAACCCAGGGGCCTTGAATTCCACAATTTTTTAAGAGAAACCCTTGCCCATCATAGCCATGTACTAGTTTTTCTGCTTATTAGCAAAGAGCAGAGTAGCTTGCAGTTTCCCAATGTGATCAAAACAGCCCAATTTTAACACTAAAACCTCTGCCCAAGGAACCATGAATTTCACAATTTTGGAAGAGGCAGACTTGCTCATCATAACCATGCACTTACTTTGTTTGCAAGCATAAAGGGCGAGATAAGAAGATTTTTAATGAATTTAATTTATGCATTTTCACTATATGATCAAGAGAATCCTGCCCTCACATCAGAACCCCTGATCCAGGGGCCATGAATTTTGAATTCACAATTTTAGTAGATGACACGTTGCTTATTATGCTAACTGTTTTACTATTTCAAAATTTGATGTTCATTTTTTTTTTTAAAGAAAATTGCATTAATGTTGATGGTTATAGCCCCACCCCTCAGGCTTCAGGGAGGCAGAGATCTTGAAATGCACAAATTAGTTTTTCCATTTACCCCTAAATCCATATACAAAAATTGGTTACAATTGGTTCATGTAGTCGTTCAAGAGAAGAAGCTGAAAATGTTCACTAGTTTACGACGCTCGTGCACACGACGACGGACGAAAACGGATAGCAATAGGTCACTTAATTGACTCAGTCACTCAGATGACCTAAAAATTGCTGCGCTTATAGTATGGTATACATGTAAATTAAATAAATTCATTTGTTGTTACAAGAAACCTTGACCTTGGGTTCATTATGACTGTTTTACAAACAAATCCACTTGAATCATCACTGTACACAAGTTAGATGTTGAACATTCCAAAGCGTCATGATTCTGTTGTATTGCATTATCTTTGTTTATTGGCAGTTTACATACTTGACATTTTTTTTATAGTACTATATCATAAAACCTTGCAGATTTTATAAACGAAAGGTATTTAAAAAAAAACTGACATTTACTGGAAATCTTGCTTCTTTAAAACATTAATGATACCAAATTACTAATACGGCGCAGGAAGAAATTGCCTACCCGTATGTGGCAAGAGTTCCCATCGAATTTTGCCAAAAGTTACGGAAACACGTCTGGTTAGTCTCGTTTTCCTTCCAAATTTCCCCAGAAGCGAAGATTCACTATTTCTGCGCTGCATATTAATATCGGATGACATGATGAAAAATACGTCCACGTTTTACATAAAATTTACATGACAGACATTGGGGGTAATAAAAACCTTAGATAAACTTTCTGGTTATTTCAAATAAAAATATTCGAAGATTTCTTCACAAAACTTCTTAACAAGAGAATTAAGTTAAGTTGTTTTCTTTCTCTCCAATACACCCTTTTCCCATATAGGTCTATAGACTTAGAATTTACAAGTACCCGTAGTTTATTTTAAAACATACAATGAATAAGGGAAAATATTGTTATTAGAATATCGTAAATGAAAACAAACCTTTTAGTGACCGCATTAGGATCCGTTCGTATAATCGCCAGTCACACAGAATGTAAAGCCATTCGTGGAACACGGAGAATTTAAGTTTAGAGAAAATAAACAAATTTCAAATTGCATTTATAGCTGCTTTGTATTGTTAAACGAGATTTAAGGAAGCAGGCTATACTTAACGTGAATTTTTTTTTCCCTAATTCTCTATCATTCAACTTGCATAATGCCTCTATGGTTGCATGTTTGAACATAAAAGCAGGATTTTGACGCTAATTAAAAATGTATGATAAAATTACATAATTTTCCACATCATTAATCTTATAAATGGCATTCTTTTAGATTTATTTATTCAAATTATAAGGTATATCAAACTGTATGAAAATATAATTAATGAAAATTAATCGGTTTAGATAGTCCCATAACGATCTGATGAACCCCCAAACCGTTCTCTAGACGAACTCTTGTTCCCTCTAATACACAACAATTGTACAACAGATAAAACACTCGATCTTGAAATCGTCAAGACAAATATTTATCCTTTAAGTATACAATACACATTTAGGAAATTAGTGGCGAGCGACTCGCTGAGGTATAAGACCCGCGCCACTGCGATCCTGATAGACGTTGGATGTTTTCATTTTGGCGACAGAAAGGGAAGAAATTTTTATTTCGGAATTGAAATGTAAAATTT